TTTTCAACTGTAGATTTAAGAAGAGTTCGGAGGGAACTATAAAGGCCTAACAGTTCGAGTTAGCGTAAGAAGGGGAGTTGAAATGTTCTGACCAGGTGGATATATTTTCACTTGGAAGGGGACCCGATAATATTGATAGACAATGGAATTATATTAAAAAATTGATAACAAGAGAATTAATGAAAAAGAATTGTATAGAAAAAAATGATAATAAAGAAATAGAATTGATCAGGTGTGTATGACACACACCTTCGAGCTCGACGGGGAGTCTAGGAATAGTTTCAATTCCTACGATATGTAAGAACTATTCCGAGGCGGTTACCCGGATAAAAAAATGAATAAGTTGAAATAAGAATGAATGAAAACGGCGAAGATAGGCAGATTAGCTGCGGTTAACTGACCTTTGATAAGACCTGTTTATTCCTCAAAAGAATACAGTATAGTTTCTCGAAGTTGAGAACTGTTGCGAGATGAATAAAATTAATAAATATCCCAAATTTCAAAATTAATCGTCCGCACAGAATCCGACACACGGACAGAATTCCAGAGCCCAAAAAGAAACGGCTGCTGGGGTTTACTGTGGTGACTGCGTGAGTCGCGGTATGGGCGCACGAATGGTAATATTTTAGTTGGTTTCGGCATAGATAGCTTATGATTATTATTGTGTTAAGTTATGCGGATTGAAATTGTTGTCCTCATGATAAGTTATAAAATAAAACTAGGAAGTTCCTCAGAAAAGTGGATGTTGATTGACTAGCTCACCGCTCCGGCCTTAGAATCAGGGAGGCCGTGACTGGTCCAGCGCGAGGCCGGCTCGAATTCGTAAGTAGTTATACTGGCTCTCAGTAGCGGTTGCCTATTGCCCAGGGGACGTGGATGGGTAGCGGGTCCGTCTCGCGTAGTGGGGGAACGTTGTGATGGTGGTGGGGGTTCGTGATGATAGTGGTGGGGGTACACGACGGTGGCGTGGGGGTACCGGTCGGGTGGGGTGTGACGTCACGCAAAATGCGGTGGCTCCGTCAGGGAATCGAACCCGGGAAGCCACGGACCTGAACGGTGCTCTTAACGACCACGGCTATTCGGCGCTACACGGTAAACGAGTTCGTGGGCGAGAGGTCATTCTCGAATAATTTTGATGCCACGCTCAGGAGTCGAACCGCATCACGTGTTGCCTACCTATACGGGGCGTGAAGTGATGTGTAAAGTGTCAGTCAGGTATCAAACACGGGTTACATTCGGATTATTAATCAGCTCTCCCTATCACCTCTCAGTGAACTCGTGTATATCTCTGTAATGTAGGCTGACGCCGTGTGGATCAGATGTCCATCTCCAGAACGCGACGCCGCGTGGTGTAGGATGGGTGGCCTACCTCGGCGGCGCCCCCGACACGCCCGTTTGTCTCACATAAATCTCTTTCTGTCGTGATCGCTCTCAATATTCAATGTGTTTTATCTGAGTCGTATCAGGAGTGGGGGTGGACGATCATATAAGTAAAGACTGTGTTTAAGTAAAACATATGTACATTATTTATTAATAAAATACAGTGACATGTATCACAGAAAATAAGAGATATATACAAAAAATAAAATAATCTTCTTAAAACTAACAATAAACTTTCAGAGTGTACTCTATATCGCACCTACACATAGGGCATTTGTCTTGACTAACTATACAGACTGCACAGGTGTGTAAATGTGCACAAGGTAAAACAACTACATCCGCCTTCTCATCGAGGCAAATGAGGCATTTGCCTCGATGAGAATCAGTTTCATCAGACTTCGGATTTTGCGCCACAGGGGGAGGTGGCAAAGCAGGTGGTGATGACCCTGACACTTTGTGAATGTTAATATTAAAACGAGAGGGGATTTTAATTTCTGGGTCCGCATGTACCACAGAATTTTTATATACATGATGAATGAAATCATCCCCCTTTCTTAACCTTATATAATCACAAAGCGGTGAATAGCGTGCATGCTCAGTGTCAGGGTCATCGCCTTTTTCCCACAAGTTTAACCCTAACCCGCAGTAGTGACATATTGTAACGTCATCCAATCCATAATAGAAAAACCCTGCCATGGCCAATTGGTTGTGGGTTAGGGGGTGGTCTGTGGGCCACCTCCCCATAGTAAATGTCCTTAACCTCTGCTCGGTAAAACGGTATCTCGCCGCAGGAAAATCGAGATTGTTAAATCTGAGGAGCCCCAGCCTCCTGGCAAAGGCGGGGTACTCCCTGGATGATGGAAGTGCATCCCAGTGTGGCATTGTAACTATGTCTCTATCACGGTCACGACGGCGTCTCGGTGGAGGTGGTGGAGGTGTTGCCGACGGAGGTGGAGGTGTTGCCAATGAAGGTGTGCCAGGTGGAGAGGCCGCATGTTCCGGTGTACGGGGGAAGGTGGGGAGAGGTGAGGTCGGTGGTGAATCCAAGAGGGGGTCCATGGAGTGTTGCATTTCCAGCCCCTCTGCCCCCGCCCACGCCCCCGTGTCTTGGTGTCGGGCCACC